AAAGAGTCTCCATCTCCTTCCTAAATGATCCCACTCTTGGTCCAGTGTCTCGAAGATTCTCCAGGTGGCGGAGTTAAGCTGGTTGTCATTTTTCCCACCGAGTGTCAGAATAGCAGCGAACTCTGAAGCAGGACTTGTTGATTCACTCAGTCGGGTCCAATTCCTTTGAGACCCCGTGGACTGTAGCCCGCCAGGCTCCTCTGTACATGGGATTTCCCAGGCGAGAATACTGGAGTGGGTTTCCATTTCCTTCTCTAGGGGATCTTCCCAACACAAGGATCAATCCTGTGTCTCCTGCAATAGCCAGCGGGTTCTTTATCACTTAGCCACTGGGGAAGCCCCAGAGTGGGACTGTCTGCCCTCAAGTCAAATCTCTACTCAATCAAACTTCTCAATGTCTCTGTACTTCAATTTCCCTATCTTTAAAATGGGATAATACCAACTATTTTATGAGGCTGTAAATAAGATTTCATGATTTATTCTATTTAAAGCACTCAAAAGTGCTCTAGAAAGCATTATAGAAATACAAGTTATTATTCTATTTTCCAAACTTTCCATAGTGAACATCCACCAAGCTCCTCTGTCCATGGAATTCTCCAGGCAATAATACTGGAGTAGGGAGTCATTCCCTTCTCCAGGAGATCGTCCCAACTCAAGGACTGAACCTGGGTCTCCTGCACTGCAAGCGGATTCTTTACCATCTGAGCCACCACGGAAGCCCATAATAATAATAAAAAGTATTACAGATATTCAATAGCTCCCAAAGATTTCTAAATCAACTGTAAACCCTTTGCCTACCTTAATGCCCTGCTCTCCAGGAAGATGAGACTATTTTCCTTATGTGACTCAATCTTCTGACTTTTTTTCCATTCAACACTTCCCAGTTCTTTAGCTCCATCCCCAAATCCAGTGTCTGCCCAGGGAATTTTAAGAACTGGTTCTCAAATGAGTAAAAAAGCCCCAATTTTTATCATTCACCAATATAAATATTCCCATCCTGGCTGATTTCAAGCCACCAACATGGCATCATGGAGTATGTAGTTAGGAAGAAATGGGCACCATTAGATAGTATTTCCATCATTCAAATACAACAGGCAGACCTCAAGAGCACAGAAAATAGCAATCTATGGGGGGAAATTATTAGGAAGCAATAAATTCTATTTATTACTTTTGTTTTTAAGATCACTGACTTACTTTAAGTTTATATAATTTAATTCTTTATAATATTTCATGAAAGCTGGCTTACAGAATTCCTAGAAATTTAATGCTTGGCTCTCTTGGGTTGAGAAGGCTCCAGAACACCATGAAATACCCCACTCCCCCACCCCAAGCATCCTCCCATTGACTCCAGCTTTGTCTTCCTGAACTGGTTCTCCTTGCCTCCTCCACTGACCCCTGGGCTACCCATCCTAGAGTACAGGATGACAGCATCCCACTGGTCCTCCTTTGCCCAATGCCATTAAGCATTTTTAAGGGATATTAATTATATTTAGCATCCCAGCATGCATATTTTATTACCTTTTTTACTATTTTGCATACCATCCTTTCTCCCACCTCCAAATCAGAGCATATTTGTTTTACACCAGTGATTATCAACTACAGAAAAGGAGGGGTCTGCATCTTTGAGAATCACTTGAGAACCTAGGTACCTTTACAAGCCTCTCCTTCTCCCAGCCAAAGGATGCTGAAATTTCACCTCCAATGTCTATCTCACTTAGGTTAGAGAACCACTATTTCATATTTGCAAATCTTAGCCCAACAAATGCCTGGCACATAGTAAGCACTCAGCAATTACTTGTAGATTGAAGAGATCAGATATTCCAGAAGAAAAAAATAAATCCTATTGATGAATTTAAAAGTCAGCTATCTGTCAAGGTAGGGTTTTGGTTTCTTATAGAAAGAAATAACAGTCCTGGTAGTTATATTTGGATATAATAGTGAGAAAACAGGTTACAACTCAGGATATTCTTTCTTATGAAGGCAGTGAAACTTCTTCCAACAGAAACCTGAAGCATAAGCCCATTACTACTAACAAGGTAAAGAGGTGGATGCCTTTATTAAGGTAAAAATGACTGGAAATTCCTGTTGTTACATTCTTGGAAACCTTGGAGACCTGTAAATGCACACACACAGATATGTGCATAAACATATGTGGCATAATCATACACTTACTGCAAGAGCATTTTTAAACACCAGCTGTGATGGCTACGAACTAACTCCATTAGAAATGATCGTATTGAAAGATCAAATTGTTTTATTCCTACCTATTTTGAAATAACATCATAATTAACTTGTCTCTCACGAACTTCAACAATCACAACAAAAGCAAGAGAAAGCTAGTGGCCACCATGTTTGCATGGAAATTTTGGCTAACACTAAAATAGTCCGAGATGAGCACCAGCAATAAAGCAAAAAAGCTACTTTTGAGAATGAGAATTGCCCTATCACATCATTTTCTGAAGGAGAGATCTCAGATTATCCTGCGTCCAAGTCTACATGGATTCCTTGGGCAGATACCCAGGGAAACTTTAGGAAAGGCATTCTCAAGCCATCCTGAAACAGTTACCCCTGTAAATAAGTAAATCTTTCTCTTTCATTGGCACTTATATTTGCCCCAAGACAGTCTGTTTAGTAAAAAAAAAAAAAAAAAAAGCAACTCAAAATTTGGACCCCACTTTGCCAGCAGTAAGCTTTCTGCTAATTCTGTCATAAATAAAGAGCATTGACAAAGACATTAAAGATGGAAACAATAAAAATAGTCAGGAAAGCAGCAAAGAAGATTGCCGTGATGGTCTGTCTCAGTTTGCAAAAAAAAAAAAGGTATTGAAATACCAACGATACAAAAATAGACTTGGACAATTATCTTCTTCACAGGGAGGGGGAAACTGCTCCCAGACCTCATAAGATGGGTGTCTTCAAGGTTTCATTGATTAGTTGATAAGTTTGCTGGTGAATGATGAGTCGATTAGTCAGAAGGGTTTGAATTAGTTACCAGAGCTGCGTCTTCCATGAATAAAACGCAGGAGTGTCCTCTCTCCCGCCCTCTGTGACAGATGATATCTGTTTTCTCCTGTGAGTTTGAATTTAAGAGCCACTGAAGCTCAGCCACAGTATATTCTGGCTCAAATGAGCTGAAAATTGCATTCAATTTGAATTTCAAAAATGGAGGGGAAGAAGGGGGAAAAAAAAACCCTCAGCACCCATCAAGTATCCACACTTTTCAACTATTTCCTGCTGCTTAGTTGCATTCCGCCAGGCTGAGGACCTGAAACCAGGATGTACTGCAGGGGGTAAGAGCATCGCTGGATTCCTGCCCAGTCTGAGTTTAAAAATAAACTTTTAATAGTCAGGATCAAAGCAAACCTCACTTTTACGCACATGCATAATGCAGAACGCGACCCAGCGAAGAAATAGATTTATCTTTTCCAAACTCAAATTGACCTGCTTTTTTTTCCCCTTATGTACTTTGGAGGTGATAAAGGTGAAGGTGTTTTCCCTGGGAAACTCTAGAAAAGCAAATTCTTCTCTAAATTAAAATTAATTCCTCCTCAGCTCACTTAAGACCCTCATTCCCTGTTGCTTGATTTTTCCCCTTCTCCTGCCTCGCATTACAAAGCAGGTGCATTCTTGAAAAGTTGAGTGAGTGGACATTGATTTTTTTTCAAATCAAATCATATTTTAAATGCTCTAAGAGAGTTAGTTATTTAAAGGAATCTCATGATAAATTATTTTATAAAGCTAAGCTATCTTGAGGGTACAGATACTCGCCCCTTCATGCAAAGACACTGTCAGCATGCATTTGAGGCCATATCCAGTTTTCCTAAAGCAGGGCATACCTACAGTTTTGAAGAAACACAGGTTGAAGTATCACCAATAATTAAAACTAAATTGCTTTACCCAAAACAACAGATAACAACCAGAATCATGTAACTGAATGATCTGGGCCAGAACTCCAATTCAAGATTGTTGGAGTTGAAGGAACACAGAGAACATCAGATTCATTTCAAACCACTTCACACATGGAGTGTATTCTCCCATTGCCTAAATCATGCTGCAAATGAAGCAACTCGGGTGCGATGGAAAAGGTAATTCAGCTCTGAAGGCCATTTTCCACATGGAAGCAGGAATTTGTTGAACACTGTTCAGATAATCCAGTGACTCTAGAGGGTTCCATACCAGGCAGGATGGAGAGCACGGTTTCCAGCATCCTTGCTCTGCCGGGGGGTGGAGGGTACCGGATGCCTCACTGAGCACCCCCTTGGAGAACCACTCAGAGCAGTGCCTCCTTTCCTGAGTTGTGAACCTGTTTGAGCGTCTGATGGAAACACAGACCCTTTCCAATTTAAGAACCCCTCCACACTATGATCCTCATAAGTCATTACCACAGGGTTCATGGATCCCGGACCAATTGAGTAACTGATGAAAGTCTAGAAAAGCAGGCATTACATGCTTTTCCTTCAAAAACACAGTGAAGAAGACTTAACATCTAGATATATTTGGAAAGAACTAGGCATCCAACTGGGACCTGACAGATGCAAGTACTTTTACTGAGTTCACAGAAGGCTTCCTATCTTAAATACAGGACAAGATCAAGAGAACAATAATACTTGAATTTCTCGCTCACTGCCAAAACAGAAAAAGTAAGAAATAATCTGACCTGATAGCTGCAGCCTAATGGCCAACATGGGCAATCAGTAGAAACACAGCAAAACTTTTCAAAAAGAACCATGATATCATTGCAACATGCGCTCCTTCAAGTCCCATTTGTCGGAATATCCCATAAAATAAAACCTGTGAAACGCTTGAAAACAATGTTCTTGCATTTTAAAAGACAGAATAAGGGAAACATGGGTGACTCTTCACATACTAACGACATCCTTGCCAGGACCACAGAGACAAAGATGTGAAGAGACCACTTAACTCTTTAGCGTGTTGTGGCATTATGTTCTGCGACTTTAAAGGATCGTTCACATCTCCTAATTTTTTAGGGAACAGCTTACCTTTCAAACTGCAACAATGTTAGCGTAGAATTTTTTCCTTACATCTTCATAATGTAATATTGTTTCATTGATGAACCAGTAAATTGTCAGCTCTATTCATTTATGTGGCGCGAGCAAGGATCCAACCCAAAAAAAAAGAAAAAAAAAAAAAAAGTGAGGTCAATTTCCTTGGCTGGTGCATTTAATAAAATCTTCCAGGCAAGAGAGTTAAGCATACATTAATAGCTATGACTTAGCCGCCTTCTGCAAGTCTTTGATTTTCCTATATATACTCAGGGCTGAATTAACACTAGCACTAAGGGACAGTCCTCATGGCTTGTTTTAAGTTTTCTTCCTTCTCAGCTTTATCAGATTTATTAATCTTCCGCTTCCCTCTTATTTATAGTGCATGCTCTGGTTAAGGTTTGAAAGCATTTTCCATTGTAACACCCATTTATAACTTTCAGAAAAAAAAAAATTCTTCTATCACAGGGCTCAAGGGACTTTCTACTTATTTCACGTTGGTCTCAAAATAAACAAGTTTCTCCAAATGGTGTGGGTGGGGGGTGGTTCTTATTTCTCCCATTCTCAAAATGAGACAAAAGGAAGCAGGTTGAGAAGGACACGTTTCCTGATGGAAAAACTCAAAGCTCCGGGTACTTTTTTTGTTTCTGTTTGTTTTAAATTTGGTGGCACCTTGTAGCATGTGGGATCTTAGAATCCCGACCAGGGGTCAAACCCACCCTCCGTGCTTTGGAAGCATGGAGTCCCACCCACAGTCCCACCAGGGATCCCGAAGCCTCGGTTTTAACTAAGCCCACTGTGCATTTACCAAACATGCTCTTTTTCAAAATCCTGTTTTTTCATACAGTGTTTATCAGAGGAAATGATTAGATTGAAACTAATCTAAAGATTGAAACTAATCTTGTAAACTGCCAATGTTTTACCAATCTTGACCTACAAAAATGGCAATTCCATACGATCTAACTTAACAGACCTCATATCTATATCCTCGTAAAGAAAACTGTTCTGAGCAATACATGGATCACTGGGATATCCAGGGGGATTCTGTGCTGGACTTGGGACCCAGGGGAGGGAGAAGGGGGAAGGAAGAAACGCTGTGACCAACAGATAACTGAAGGGTCCTAACAATTTGTTTGGTGCAGGCTTTCATACAGTTTGTTCAGTAAAAGATGTGGGAAAACTCATTAATTCTATGGCACCAGGCCATTCCCATCACACCCCTTGAGGCATGAATGTGGTAACTGTAGACTTCGGGGAGTGAATACTTCAAAGAGATGCCTGTGCTGTGATTAGAAGATTCTCAGAGGGGCTCTAAATCATATTCACTCAAGACACCCTTCAAACCCACAGCTTTTTGCCTTTTCTTTAAAGAAAGAAGTTAAAAGTAAAATGCTTGACAATTAAACAAGATTGAGGTTTCAATTTCAACTTTGCCTTAATACCCCAAGACTACAAGAAGCAATTGGAACCAAACTTTGATCATTTGCTTCCACGCTGAAGAGGAACTATTAGGGCACTCGAGAAACAAAGGGATCATTTTAAAAGTTTTTGCGTGAGGGAGGGCTGATGATCAACGAACCGGGAGACCAAGGAGGCTTCTGGTACAGAATGGAATTTGACAGGGTGTAGAATCAAGAAAGGGAGATACTAACTAACAGACAAAGACAAATATCATATGATATCACCTATGTGTGGAATCTAAAAAATATGATACAAATGAACTTATTTCCAAAACAGAAATAGATACACAGACATAGAAAACAAATGCCATGGTTACCAAAGGGGAGAGTGGGGTAGGGGAGGGGGTGTTGTTAATTTAGGAGTTTGGGATTAACAGAGAAACACTACTCTACATAAATTAGGAAAACAACAAGGTCCTAGTGTATAGAACAGGGAACTGTACTCAACATCTTCTAATAATGGAAAAGAATCTGAAAAAATTCAGTTTTGTATGTATATATAACTGAATCACTTTTCTGTATGCTTAAAAGTAACATGACATTAGGAATTAGCTACATTTCAACAAAAAAAGAACCCTCCCTCCAAATAAAGGAAAAAAAAAGATGCTCTGCAAATAAAAATAGGAGGGTATATTTGATATACCTACTAATGAGAAAGGCTAAATGAGTTGCATGTGAGAATCTATCCCTATTTATATTCTAGGACTGTGAACATAGGAAGCCTGTTAAAAATCTGCAATTTGTATGAATACAATGAAGCACTAAGAGAGAGTCCACTCAAGTGACACTACAGGGTAAGATGCCCTTGGGAACCTAATTTAGGTTGCTTATTATTATTATAATAAAGAAAGCCTAGGATTCCAGAAGTACGAAAGAAGGATTTGAAGGGACAAAAATCCTTCCGGCGCTGAGTTCATCAGATAATATGTTACTGTCCAGGTAATCATGCCAATGGTCATGATCAATGTGGTTGTGATTTCAAGTTCACATTTAAAATACATAACTGGTCAAAGCCTATGTCTGAAATCAATGAAAATTCAAACTAACATTTACACTGTAGTTATAGTCTTGGGAACAGCGTCTCCTTTTGACCTCACATGCAGCATTTATCTGTGAGCAGAGGCATTCAACTTAGGATCTTCTTACTGTGACCACCCCCACTTGCAGGGGCAGCCCAGGTCAGTGGGCAGTGGGACGCTGGTCTCAGAATCTTGGGGAGGAAGAGTTACTGCTTTAGTCACTAAACTCCCTTTCAGACATGCATAAGACCTTAGGAGTTGTTGCAAGCAAAGGAAAGATGGATGCCTAGTGCCTCTAGAATTCCTGATAGAAGAATTTGGAGTCTTCTGAACCCAATGGGACATGAGCTAATTGTCCATGGCCAATTGAGGTCTTGTTATTTGGGAGTTCTTGAAAGGTAGGGGTGAAGGAGGAATTAGAACCTAGCTCTTTGATCCCTTTTCCCCCTCCCCCAGTTTTTGCACACTTTTGCCATAAATCTCTCATGCCCCCCTTCAGACTTTGTCCCATTCAGGGATTGGTAATGAAGGAAGATGGATGGGCATTGGAAGGGTATGTAGAATTTATTCATATCACCTCAATGGTCTCCTCTTACTACAAAACGCAATATACATATCCCCAGATCAATTTCATTCTAAATGGTGACAACCAACCCAGGTAGAAGACTTCCTCTTCAGGATTGCAAATAATGTCCTGAAGAACAGAAGACAACACTGTTGTAGACCTGAAGAACTTGTGTCGCAGCTTGACTAAGATTTTTGCGGGTAACCTAGAAACTCTCTACCATGTACCTCATCTTTTTCCTCGTCTGCAGACAGTCTGAATTAAAACCAACCAGTTTTACAATGGACAATGGGACACTGCTATGTTATAAACTGGGGATTGCCTATCCTCAATTCATTACTGAGACATATAAAGTCACAAAAAAATAAATTCATTCCAGGATGAAAAACTACCAGCTACATGCACATAGACTTCTGCTTTGCACAACTTCGCTGGACATTCTTTCACAAAGATTACAATGTGATGGTACCACACCACCATGACTTCACAAAGTGGGGTTGGAGGAGAAAGCATCTGAACTTTTCCCCCCAACCCAGAGTTTATTTTTAAAGCAAAGCCAGAGAATCAAGTTACCAGTTTCCCATCACTCGCAGTCACTGACCCCAAGGCAAAAGAACTTGCACCACCTCAATCCCCACCACCAGCAGCCTCTGAGTAGTAACCTCCTTAGGAAGATGGAGAATTACCTTTCTGCCTTCTAATAGATATTCCAATACAAAAAGAAGATATTAAGCACATAATGTTCATAAATCATGGTGGCACTACAGTGAAACCCAATAATGGCTATCCCTGGGGAAAAGCACATTTTCAGTTCCAAAGCCTAAGTAATAGGTCTTACTAGGACTCACCTGTAGAAAAGCTATGACAAACCTAGACAGCATATAAAAAAGCAGAGATACCACTTTGCTGACAAAGTTCTGTATAGTCAAACTATGGGTTTTCCAGTAGTCATGTACGGATGTGAGGATTGGACCGTAAAGAAGGCTGAGCGCCGAAGAATTGATTCCTTTGAAATGTGGTGCTGAAACAGAAAAAGAGACTCAGATGTATAGAACAGACTTGTGGACTCTGTGGGAGAAGGCGAGGGTGAACAGAGGATGAGATGGTTGGATGGTACCACCAACTCAACGGACATGAATTTGAGCAAACTTTGGGATACAGTGAAGGACAGGGAAGTCTGGCATGCTGCAGTCCATGGGGTCACAGAGTTGGCCACAACTGAGCGACTGAACAACACCTGTAACACACTTACAGATACCAAAGCCTGTGCATCATACACTCTCAAAATGTAAATGAATGGCAGAAGTTTTTTAAAAGGGAGGACAATAATAGTTCCTTTACCTCAACTGAATATGACTTTAGTACACTGTTGGTAGTAGACGATAAGCAGAAAAAATCCCAAAGCTTTCTAGACTCCCTGCCATATGTTGTTCACATGGTTATAAATAAGTGTGATTATTTGAAGATTTGTTTCAAGATTTCAAAAAAGGCAATCAGAAAAGATTATCCATAGGACTTCCCTGGTGGTCCAGTGGGAAGACTCCACGCTCCCAATGTAGGGAACCTGGGTTTGATTCTTGGTCAGGGAACTAGACACCACATGCCACAGCTAAGACCCAGTACAGTCAAATAAATAAATAAACATTTAAAAAAAGAGAAAAGATTATCCTGGGAAGGCGTAGGATGTACATCTTTGGGGACAAAGATGACTTCAGCCCCCCAAATCCCTCCCATCAAGTTTGGTATAATTAAAAGAGAAACAGAGAACAATATAGTCAACATGGTATTTTAAAATGACCCTTGAAAGGAAGAGTAGGTCAGAGACTGGTATGGTTTTCAAAATGGATAATAGCCTATCAATGTAGATATAGCTTTTTCACTGATGGATACAATGTAAGGGTTTCCTTCAGTAAAGCTCAACTCCCAACTTTAGAGTCCTGATTTAGATCTTCCAGTAGTTGCCACTGTATAGTCAGTCTTCCTAAATCCAATAATACTGGCGATCTTCTGATGTCATTTCTCAAGTTTCTCATTCAGAAAAGTTTCTCTATAAGAAGGACATGGTATTTTAAAAATTCCCAATGTTCATCACAGCACTGTTTATAATAGCCAGGACATGGAAGCAACCTAGATGCCCATCAGCAGACGAATGGATGAGGAAGCTGTGGTACATATACACCATGGAATATTACTCAGCCNTGTTTACAAAGGAGGATGCGCCTCTTCACTGAGGATATTGCATGGTATTAATGACTTAGCCGGCCCAGAGCTGTGCTTGATTTAAGAAGAGAACAGATAAGGAAATAAGGAAGTCGTGTGTTCAGTGAAATGTTTTGGAAATTAAATTGCATTTTGCGTTTGTTTTCCGTCTCCCCCTGTAGAATGTAAAGACCGTGAGAGAAGGGACTGTTTCTTCCCTTGTATATCAACCTGGTATGATCCACACATTGTTGTTGCTTAGTCGCTAAGTCATGTCAGAGTGTTTTGTGACCCCATGGACTATAGCCCACCAGGCTCCTCTGTCCATAGAATTTCCCAGGCAAGAATATTGGAGTGGGTTGCCATTTCCTCTTCCAGGAGATCTTCCTGACCCAGGAATCAAACCCGCTTCTCTTGTGTCTCCTGCATTGCAGGTGGATTTTTTACCACCTGGGAAGCCCTTTCTGAATCACAGACAATCACTAATGATCCCAGGAGTGAAGTAAGATGGAGATGCCCTTCTCTCTCTGGGGGGAAAACACAGATCAGCTCACAGTATTTAAATACACAGGAAGAGCTGGAATTGGGCAAGGCCACAACTGACCCAGCTTCGGGGGTAATCTGACCCTTGGAGACAGCACACTCTGAATTTAGAAAGCTCCAAGTCCAATTTCTTACCTTCCCAACAAACTGTCTCTGGTGGTGATTATGCCGTAACATATCTGTTGATTAATTAAGAGACGTTCATTACATCACTTGGCTTGTAATTAACAGCTCCCCCTGTCTTTAATAAAATAGATAGCATGATATAAAATAAACAAGGCAGACCAAGCGATAGGTAAACCCTAAGCCCAGATGATATCACCCTCCTCTGCCATCAGGATGGAGGGGAAGAAGCAAAAGGCTATGGAAAAGATGAGTGGGGTGTGCTGAAGACGGAGGTGGCGGGAGAAGGCAGGCATTTGCTCAATCAGTACCTATTTTCAGAATTTCCTTCAAGCTGGCTCGGACTGAGAGTCATCAATTATTTAAAAGATGTAACATGATGCTTCCTTTGTTGAGGCAAATCTGCAAGCAGACCCCGAGAGAAAATAAAAAATGAATTAGGCAGAATGTATTAGTCTGCTTGAAGAAAACAAAGATTTAGCTATTGGGACTCACTCTTTTTAGAAACAGTTCAATTTTGTCTCCAAAATTCACAGACCTTTTTTCTCCCTCTCCTTACCTATTTATTTATTATTTTCTACAGTAGATCACACAAAAGGGGGCATGAATCATTTCCTAAACTTCTCCTTTCTTTTCAGATTCAGCTTGATGTATTGTCTTCATTTAAATTACAAATACACTAATCTGAAACACTGTTTACCAAGCAGCATTTTAAATGAAAGATACAAGAAATTGCATCACTCACATTTTAAAAATGACTTTAGACTCCGGACCTCATAAAAAACAGCCGACAGTGTTCTCTGTCTTGGCTGCTATATTTCAGTCCAGCTAATGAAATTCAATTAGTGAGCTTTGTACTTAGGACATTATGATTCTGATGGTTGGTCTGATCAAAACTGGTGTGCCAAGCCCTAGTTCTGTTTTCTGGCAGACCACAGTTAAAAGAAAAACTCAATAGGGTAGATTGGCATGGGGAAAGTTAGTTTCAGAGGAACTCACTTCTCACCATCATTAAAAAAATATGGGAGGAGGAGAGCTGTTCCCTAGAAGGGTTTTATTATTTACTAATCAAGTGATTAACTCTTGAAAAACCTCAATACCTAAGTCCATCATTATCAGTGTTAGTCTTTCCAAAACCAGCAACTGACCTAAAATAAACCAGTAATCAACCAGAATCAATAAATCATAGATTTAATCTGTTTTTAGGTTTGGATCTGCCTGAGCTTGTATTTCAAAGAAAAAGTACAAACACTGGACTCTTAGTGATGTCTTTATGTTAATCTTGTTCATGTTCAGTCGTTAAGTAGTATCCAACTCTTTGTGCCCCCATGGATGGTAGCCCACCATGTTCCTCTGTTCATGGGATTTTTCTAGGCAAGAATCCTGGAGTGGGTTGCCATTTCCTTCTCCAGGGGATCTTCCTTAGCCAGGGATTGAACCCACGTGCCCTGCATTGACAGGCAGATTCTTTACCACTGGGCCATCAGGGAAGCCAATTGTCTTCCCAATTAAACAAAGAAATAAGCATCAAACAGGAAACCCTGAGCCTTTACACTGAACATTCAGATTACACCATCAGTTCAAGAGGTGCTGTATCTTTAGCACCTGTAAGAATTTAACACTTGAAAACAGATACACACTTGGCAAAAGCCACTGAGCTGAAGCCTGGTACATTACACATCTTGATCCTCTACCTGAACCGTTGGCCTTTGATTCAAGGGCACATCTGCATGGATCAGGTCGAATGGCAAGACACAACCCAACTCATCATTATATGGCCTGATTCTTTGGACAGCAAAAGCAGACAAGCAAAAATGGAAATTTCAGATGGACATATAGCCATTGGTCTGTTAATAACAATCCTAATTAACTAGCCAATTGAGACCTGAGCATCTATTTCATTTTCAAAGTTGTTTTCTTAAAACACAAACCAGGTCATACCAGTTCTTTCCTTCTCTCACAGGAAAAGACATCCCTATCCAACTTGTGATAGAAACCAAAAGAGCCATCCTTGGCATCCCTTCTGTGTCACCACCATTATCTATTCCATATCCAAATCTTTCCCTCTTTCTGGAAAACAATTACGGGAACAGTCATCTGATATTCCAGAAGTGGAATCTGACTTCCTGGTCCATTCCTTGGAAAGCTGTTCTAGAAGCTTTTGGCTTTACCTGAGAGTGACCCAGGATTGAGTACAGACACTCAGCCTGGACTTCTTGTACCCTTGGTGCTATTTTTCTCTGACTTAAAAATTGTACATCCCCCATCTGTTCTTGATAGGAACATATCATATATATATATATATATATATATATATATTTGATGATAAATCCATTCGGAAATAAACTTTTTCTTGTGTCAAATGCAAAAGGGAAAATGCACACTCACTTCCTTCCCACAAACAGGCTGCCTCTGATGTGTTTTCTCAGAATTCATTAGTAAAATGCCTTGCTAGACTGTCTTGCTCCAGCTTGCTAGAGCAGAGTCTGTGCCTCTCTTCCCAAATCCACACTGAGTGACTTCACGTTGGTAGCTTGAAATCACACCCAGCAGGAGTATTTACATCAAGGAAATCACCAAATGTCACGACTCAGGTGTTTTTCCACTATGGTGACCAAAGGGAAAATGTGAGGGGAGGGATAAATTAGGAGTCTGGGATTAACATATACACACTACTGTATATAAAATGGGCTTCCCAGGTGGCTCAGTGGTAAAGAATCTGCTTGTCCACACAGAAGATGCAGATTCAATCCCTGGGTTGGGAAGACCCTCTGGAGAAGGGACTGGCAACCCACTCCAGTATTCTCGCCTGGGAAACCCCATGGACAGAGGAGCCTGCTGGGCTACAGTCCATGGGGTCGCAGAGTCAGACACAATTGAGCAACTAAACAACAGTATATAAAATAGATAATCAACAAGGACCTACTGTATAGCACAGGGAAATCTACTCAGTACTCTGTAATAACCTATACTGGAGAAAAGAATCTGAAAAAAAAATGGGTTTATGTACAACTGAGTCACTTTGCTATACACCTGAAACTAACACAATATTGTACATCAATTATACTCCAATATAAATTTTTTTAAAATCAGGTGTTTTTTCATCCTCTTCCCTTACAGTTCACCAGCACATCACTGGAAAAGGCTTTAAGTCACTGTTTGCTTCTTTGCAAATAAAAGGTCCTATAAAGTGTTTTAGGAGGTCCCTTGTGGCTCAGATGGTAAAGCATCTGCCTACAATGCGGGAGACCCGGGTTCGATCCCTGGGTTGGGAAGATCCTCTAGAGAAGGAAATGGCAACCCACTCCGGTATTCTTGCCTGGAGAATCCATGGACGGAGGAGCCTGGTAGGCAACAGTCCATAGAGTTGCAAAGAGTTGGACATGACTGAGCGACATCACTTCATTTCACCTCATAGAGTGTTTTGCATCGACACTCATCCTTTTTCTTCTCTTTCCCTCTTTTGGGGGAGGCTAGTCAGAAGTTCACCACCTCTATTCCTTGGCACCAAGCTTGACCATCTTTCCCAGCCACTCTTGCAGGTAGGTGTGGTCAGGTGATTGAGTTTCCCTCCATGGAAAGAGACTAAAAGTGAAAAAAGCCTATCCATACTTGGGCTGTAAGCCACCCCCACAAGTACATTCCATAGTTTTTCCCTTTTCACGGGCTTCTGTAGATGATATGGGCAACCCTGGATGCCACTCATCGAAGAGAGCAAGCAATAGGACAAGAAGAAGTCAACCTTCAAATCCCTTCTGGAAGGAGACTTACCCCAATCAGGAACACCCATTGTGAACTTCAAATGTGAGAAAACAATAAAGTTTTTTTGTTTGAACAGTTTACTATTTGAGAGTTTGTTTGATTCACCAGTCACCATAACTATAACTGAGCACTCTTTCTCCTTTTCTTTCAACCACTCTTTCCTCCCCCAGCTGATGTGATAAGTCCAGGGATGAGGATGGATCAAGACTGAGGAGAACTGAAATAGGAGTCCTAATATACAATACTGACTGCTCACGTAGAGTTTTTATTTCACTTAAGAGTTTTGAGTTCTCTGTGTTGTTCATGTCAATAGTCAATAGCCAGAAACCCATGTTATTTACATAGGCTTAAGGTACCGTGTGTAGCTCATTCTTTCTCCCTTTAGTGATGTCATCTAAATAAAATGTTACAATTTATAATCATTTCCACATCAGAAATGTATGAGGAATTCAGCCCATATACCCTATGTCTTTTTCAAGAAAATTAACTATTAAGGCAGTATTCATATTATACAATTAAAACGAGGGCTCTTAACATATTTAATTTCCCCCTGACCTGACTTTCTTCACTCATGGTGAACAAAAAGTATGAATTCATTATTTGCAAATAGTCTGGATTGCTTAATATATTCTAGAAGGAACTAAGAGTACACATCCATGTACTCAAACGTGTATGTTTCTGGATAAGGAACCATTCTAAGTTGTCAACCGTGTAGGCTTAGTGGAACTCTAAATATATTTTTAGTCCATATTTATGTATTTTAAGGTTTTCTCTTTCTATAACACTCAAGGTAAAGAAAAAAAAAAGGAGGGAGGGAGAGAAGAATAGAGAAACAAAAAAAATTGTTTTAATCTTTCCATATTATTTACTATATAAAGCATCACACATTTTCCTCCTTGCAAGCCTGCATAAAGAGTCTATTTGGGAGTGTTTGGAATTGTTGTGTTTTAAAAAATTTAACAATCATAGCTCTGAAGCTTAATCACTTGTATGTGTTACAAGACCAGATGGTTCAAGTGGGTGTTTGTTTACAAGCTCTTTGTATAAGGTTTTGTAGCTGCTTTTTAGTCCAAAGCTGGATATTTTAACTAACCAAGAAGGCAATGAGGAATGAGCAGCCACTGGATTTCACAGATCCCTGGACTATTAGACTTCACTCCACCATCGTCCTGCCCATCTGTACAAGGAAGGGTGTGGGGCCTAAGAAACAATAACATTTGTATGCCACGCTCTTTCTTCATGGAACTCGGACAGGCTCTAGAGGAAGAAGGCGTCTACCCTGGGCTCAGCACTGCTGGCCGCTGGCAGTGGACCAACCAGAGAAGAACAGAGCACTCTGCCTTCCTATCATCTTTAACTACCTTGAAGCTCTAGAATTTAAGATGTTTCCTGTTTTAACTGGCTTTGAGAACTGAGTTGTTTGACCAGTCTCATCCTCCTCCAGCTTTCTCATTCCTGACATGGATGAAAGGAGAGAAAGACAACTTCTTCGTGGCTGCCCCATTCTCGGTTTCCTCTGCACTAACCACACAACCAACACTGGCAAACGTGCAAAGGATGCAGGTTTATTTACCGCAAAATAAGTCCAATAACATTAAATGTTCCTTAAAGGAGAATGAAAAGTTTCATCAAGGAACAAACTTTAATGGCTTTCAAAAGATGAACATATACGTCTTGTTTTCTGGATGAGAAAATCCCCTTATAGTTCACTGTCTGCTCTGGGGCTCACCTTCTTTCAATAGAAAGAAGGCAGTCAATACTTGCTTATTTTCATTCTTAATAAGATTAATAGTGTTCGGCACAGTTAGCCCACCTAGAATTAATATCTTACAACATGAGCTATCTGTCCTTCACGGGTTTCCCAAATTGGTATCCTTCCTGTGACCACCCAATCAGTTCCAAGAGATAAGATATTAGAGCAAAAGGGGTAAGAGACGTACATGGATATCTTGGCATTTCAGTGAACTTCTATCCTATTGCACAACAAACTAGCAAGATATTACATCCTAACAACAATGGGTTTGATCATTATCATTTCAGGCATTTGATTCCTCTTTATTATTAGTTTGGAGTATAGATCTTTTCCATAACTTCTTTGGACTAACTCAGCAGAATGTGACATCATTTAACTGCGTCTTTAGGATAAGGCTTGAGAAGAGAATGGCAACCCACTCCAGTATTCTTGCCTGGAGAATTCCATGGACAGAGGAGCCTGGTGGGCTACAGTCCATGGGGTCACAGAGTTGGACACAACTGAGTGACTAATACTTTCACTTTAGGATAAGGAATGCACACCATTTATTATTCATTCTCCAAAGAGCCACACAGTATTTTGCACATAGCCGGTGTTCCAGAAAATGATGCTGAATGAATGAAGGAAAAAATTACTAGCATTGATTATTCTCTTCCAATCTTAATGAATGCAAAGCTTACTTTAATACATGTCATTAGCCTTGGCAAAGTAAAGTCAGGAATACCTAGATAAATGAGCATATTTATGACATGTGACTGTTTTGCCTTCTGAAGACAACTCTCAAGAAAGAGGATTTTCCCCAAACAAACAAAAAGAACCAACTGATATTTAGAAGAGAATATGAAGTATGATTTTTCTTTCAACACTTGATAATCATTTGCTTATAAAACTAACAAAAAAGACACATATTGAATCAGGGATGTCTAACTGGTCTCAGAAATAGGATCACCTGTCCCTATAACATGACAGCATGAATCAAACAAATATGTTCCAGATTCTTCCACGTATGTATCCTGACTCTGGAGCCCAAACAAAAACCTGTCAATAAGCTGTGAAATTTAGTTCAGTTCAGTCACTCAGTTGTGTCCGACTCTTTGCGACCCCATGAATCGTAGCATGCCAGGCCTCCCTGTCCATCACCAACTCCCGGAGCTTACTCAAACTCATGTCCATTGAGTCAGTGATGCCATCCAGCCATCTCATTCTCTGTTGTCCCCTTCTCCTCCTGCCCCCAATCCCTCCCAACATCAGGGTCTTTTCCAGTGAGTCAACTCTTTGCATGAGGTGGCCAAACTACTGGAGTTTCAGCTTCAGCATCAACTCTTCCAATGAACACCCAGGACTGATCTCCTTTAGGATGGACTGGTTGGATCTCCTTGCAGTCCAAGGGACTCTCAAGAGTCTTCTCCAACACCACAGTTCAAAAGCATCAATTTTTCAGTGCTCAGCTTTCTTCACAGTCCAACTCTCACATCCATACATGACCACTGGAAAAACCATAGCCTTGACCAGACAGACCTTTGTTGGCAAAGTAATGTCTCTGCTTTTTAATGTACTATCTATTAGCATATCTATTAGCTATCTACTAGCACAGCTGTGAAATTAGGGGGAAATAAAGAGTGTTTTCATTGTTTATAGCCTTCAATAAGGAGAATGTGTATAGTCAAGTTCAAACAGACTTGAAATATTTTCTTGATTTTTTTTGACTGTGCCAAGTGGCCTGTGAGATCTTAGTTCCCCAACCAGGGATTGAACCCAGGCCCTCAGCAGGGACCGTGTGGAGTCCTAACCACTGGACCTTCAGAGAACTATTTGTCTTGACTTTTAACAAAGGAAATCAAACTTAGCACATATACTTTCTATGGCAACAGTGTCCACCATATAGTATTTGCTATGGACTGAATGTTTATGTCGCCCTGAAAATTATACGTTGGATCCTAATGCCCAGTGTGATGGAATGTGGCCTTTGGGGGTGATGAGATTATGAGAGTGACACCCATCTGGTGGTGAGATTAATACCTTTACAAAAGAGGCCTGAGCTCTCCCTCCTCCCTTCTCCCATGTGAAGTTGCTGCAAAAGACACCATGTGAGATGAGGACCTCACTGGACACCAGATCTACTGCAGCCAGGACTGTGGACTCTCCAGCCTTCAAAACTGTGAGAGCTGAATTTCTGTCATTTAAAAGCCACCTAATTTAGGGTTATTGTCTGATAGCAGCCCAGACTAAAACAGTACTCAACTTTTAATTAACTTGTTAAGTGAATAAATGTATATAGCAGCCAATTCTGTATCAAGGTGAAGATGAGGCTTGGGTATAGAAAGTTAAATCCAAACTCAACTTCTGATTTGCTGAAAATCCTTCCCTACTGTGGACAATGATTATTTATTCCTATTTGTGACATAAAATGAATGGGCACTTGAAATAAGAATGTTTAAAATCAAGATGGGATTTTTCAAAATGCATCACTTCCTAATTATGTTACTATATATTTGTCTTATCTATGTTTTTCAAAAAGATTATGTCTATTGTATCCGAGTATCAGAAATACTACATAACAGCATGCTACTCTGACTACAACATGAAAGTATCTAGGTAAGACATTTTACACCACAGAAATTGGCAAACTCTACAGTTCAGGATTTGATTTATTGTTTGGTTTACTGTCTTGTCTTCAGAAATGATGGATTAAAATGTAAATAAATTAAATTAACAAAATAAAATGCCCTCTCACATTAAAAAAAAAAAAAGATGTGATTTTCCTTTCATCATATTCCTCTAAAAAGCCCTAAGAAAATCTAGCTAGGCTTCTGCACACATAGAACCACTCCTCTGCAGACTGAAGGGGAGCAGAAACACCAGCAGTAGCTATGAAATATCACTGGTGGTCACTATTTATGTTTTATATACTGTCAGCAGCAACATGGTCATTTAGCATCAGACACAGTTATCCAGGCACTTGGATGATGCAGCAAGTGTCAATACTGATGCTACTATTTATAGCCCAATAAACTATCCTTTGAACAATATTAGTAACATTAAGCTTAGGTAGCACTCAAAGTACTAATGCCTTAATATAGATATATTGCTATAAGCATAGTTTACAGCACGGAACATAAACACAAATCCAGTGACACTAATAAATCACTTTCTTGACTGCTTAAAAATGTACTGCCAAAATGGGCTTTATGCATTACACAATGGAGCAGAAGGCAGCGATATATATTTAAATTTTCCATTTTTAAGCTGTCACTCAAAAACTTTTCATCCTTTTTTTAGCTTATTGATCTTACCGGCTTGTGATAACTGCTTGGTTGAGCTGTTTTTAGCTTCCGCTTCTTTTTAATAAGAGCTAAATCAGGAATCATAAAGTGCTACTAATTTAGCATTTTTCAATAGAGATGGAAGTTACAAACAGCACAAAAATAGTGTGATTCTCATGTCTTATTGCCCTAGAATCCCAGATTTAATTACCATGTGGTATAGTATAATGAAGGGGATAGTGATGCTATGTATCACTATAAACACACTGAAAATAAAACTTGTATTAAATATGCCAAAATAGTTGCTCCAGGTTTCCCGATCCTTTCAATTAAATATTTTTGCACATGAATGAATTATAGGTGTGTTTCTATATAGGTTTTTTTATTGTTGTTGCATATAGAATAGATTCTGTGCAATTATTTCCTTTCCTTTTTGTTCATTTACAAAGAAAGCTACATTCTTAAGGTTTTTGCTATTCCTTACCTTACAATATACTGTATTGGCCAAAAAGTTCATTCAGGTTTTTCCATGAGATCTTATGGAAAAACCCAAATGATCTTCTTGGCCAACCCAACACATCTGGCATCAAAACAACCAAAATATCATCAGCAGAACAGCAGAGCTGATTAGCTAGTTACCTGGTCAGCCAACTTGCATCATCCCCTCCACACCGCGCATGCTCTTCAGTTTGGAGGAGCAAACTATTAACCACAGTCAGAAAACTTCTCAAGGCTGATTTTGGATCAGAACCTTGACCTCTCAGACCTGTGTCTGCTCTCAAAGGATACTGTCTCTGAACTCTTCAGCGAATTGTGGTTTGTGTCTCCCCTCACTGCTAGCCCCAAAGTTCAAGGCTCACTATGGAAGAAAGAGTGGTCCTCATAGCTAATTGCCGCTATTTTGCAAACAGCTGCATGGAATGCGGAAGCCACAGCCCCCCAAGGCCCGATCCATCATAAATATCCCCGTGACCAGTGTACCGTGTGGTCATGGTTGGGGCTCTGAGTACAGCCCTGAATCTCACCCACTCAGATAGGACAAAGCACTGGATTTGCTCACAGTGCAAATCCCATCACACCTTCCCCCACCGTCCTCTCCAGAAGGAATGACAGTAGCAACTATTAACAGCCATGAAGTTGACGGCGCTTGTAGCGCCCACCGCCCCACCCCCCGGGGTTTTGTGACACTCCGGTGCGCCGAGAAGGGGAGGGGACAGCTCGCGCCCCGCCTGGCCTCTTCCGCCGCCGCCGTGGGAATGGAAACATCTACCCCACGTACCGGAAGCCAGCTCGCGCAGACGGCGGCGCGCCACTCCGCGTCCTCCCGCGGCGAAGCCCTGCGGGTGTCATCGCGAGACGAGCTCGCCGAAATGGCCGCCGCCAGTCAAGGAAACTTTGAGGGAAAGTTTGAGTCACTGGACCTTGCAGAACTTGCTAAAAAGCAGTCATGGTGGCGCACGCTGTTTGGGCAAGAATCTGGGCCTTCAGCCGAAAAGTATAATGTGGCAACCCAGCTGTTAATTGGAGGTGTCACTGGATGGTGCACGGGTTTCATATTCCAGAAGGTTGGAAAACTGGCTGCAACGGCTGTGGGAGGTGGATTTTTTCTGCTTCAGCTTGCAAACCATACTGGCTACATCAAAGTGGACTGGCAGCGTGTAGAGAAAGACATGAAGAAGGCCAAAGAACAGCTGAAGATCCGCAAGAGCAACCAGATACCTACAGAGGTCAAGAGCAAAGCAGAGGAGGTGGTGTTGTTTGTGAAGAAGAACGTTCTAGTGACTGGTGGCTTTTTCGGAGGCTTTCTGCTGGGCATGGCGTCCTAGAGGGGATGACTTCACCACCATTAGTCCTAGCTTTTTGCCAACCAGCAGCCTCTTCCCTCCACCCTAGGACAGCAGACTCCTCCTCCTCTTCCTCCTCCCTGCCATGGCGTATCTGAGTGGCTTCTGTAGGCATCTGTTGATTCAAATTGGGAACGGCCCCTCTGTGAGCTTGACGGCAATGGAAGAGACCGTAGATGTTAGCACTTACCTAGCACACTCCCCTGGGACTAATCTGTAGGTCAGCAAGTACATTCCTTTCTGTGTAAGATACTTAGCAGAACATAGGACAAGATGACAACGCCAAGTGGATCTTCAAAGGTTGCCCCACACTTGATTTGGAAAAGACATCGCAAGCATATAAGATACCTCATTAAGTTTTGCATGGAAAGGAACTGAATACACTAGCCTTTAAGCATGAAGGATTTTGCAATTGTGGTGTCTACTTTCTATTTTAGTAGATTTGAGATTACAGAAAGAGAACTACTCTTAGTGTGCGATAGTTGAAAAATCCGAATATGAAATGACCTTGTCCTAAAGTGACATACGATGAGCTGAAGCTGTGTTTGGTGGGAAGGCCTTTGGGGAAACCAAGCAGCTGATAACATTTAGGATGGTCAGACTTAGTGAATCATTTAAAGGCATTCAGATATTATCTAGGGATGTTTTCCACCACACAGGGTAATGTATTCCATGGCTGTTTCCAAAGGTTTATTGATGGTAAAATAAGTGACTTTAGGTGTAAGAGGGAAGAAGCTCTTGGGTGTTTAATAGAAAGGATTTAAAGCTTTGAACTTTTGTTTACTTCTGGTCAAAACGTCAGGGGTAGCCCGTAGCTCCTCTGTCAATTCTATTTCCTTATCTGGAGTTTTAAAATGGTGGCATTTCCAAGCATTAAAAATTTAGAACAGTAGCATCAAAGGTATCTACTGTCTCATGATGACCCCAATTCTTTGAACTTATCTTTAGAATTCAAGTTTATACACACAGCCATCCTTAGAAACAAGTCATTTTTCTGTAATGGCCTTTTACCATATCTGGAATATCCAGTGCAGAAAGGCAAGGCTGTGTCTTCACCATTGTATACATGGAGTCAAGCACTTAGTAGATACTCAGTCTGTTGAATATATGAGTAATGAGGTCATAGAAAAGTATGTGGAAAATGGAGTGATCAGCAGGATTTTTGAGACTTGAGTTCTGAGAATGCTGAAAACTTGGAATTCTTAACCTTGTAGGTGATCCCTTGCAAAATGTATGTTTTCAATGCCCTCCTTTTAAAATGTTTGCCTTTTAACTTGAATTTGGAAATTGTAGCTACTAGCGGATGTGTGGAATTTTTTAGAATTCATCCGTTTGCATTTTTCTCCTTATTGTAATATTTTAAGGCAACATTAAGTAGTTTTGCTTGTAACGTGGATTATATACAAATCATAATGGTATGAGCCACATTGTCCTATATTTTTGTATAAGAACTCAAAATTTTTCACTTTTTCTTATGCTCAGACATATGTAAACATACAAATGTTCAAATATATATGAAAGTACAGTGACCCCCATGGACCCACCACCCACCTATAATGATCATCAAAATATAGGTTTTATCAGTGGCTTTGGAAAAAAAAAAAAAAAAAACAGCCATGAAGTTTATTCTCAGAGGCAAGAACAGCTGGAATTTTAGTTACTATCGCCATATCTAGCTTCTGAGAGAACCTTGAGGTTCTTGCAAAATAGCCAAATTCATTTAAAAAGTACAGTTGAGAGAAGGGAAGGCTTTTCTTTTAGTGTATTTAAAATCATTAAAACTCTTCCATAAATATTTCTTGCTCACTGGACAGCTCCTAACGTCAATAATGTTAGGCTGCCTGCATCATTTCAAACTGAGTCCCCAGCTCGTTCCTGACACAGCTTTGGTGCCAGCTTCTACCACGTGGCCACCACCAAGAGTCATCATATTTCAACAGCACTCACCATTCTGTTTCCGTATCCCTTGCTTCCACAAATGCTACCGCTTCGCTGAACACGTCTCACAATCACACACATTGCCCCCTCTGGTTTAGTGTACCATCTGTGTATGTAAATGTATGTGGGCGGGTGCACACCCAACCGGAGGGGCACATTTTCATTCCTCTTCCACATCAATCTGGTGATGCATTTCCCGCTTAGAGCTTTTCTGACAGCCGGACGAAATGGTAGCTCCAGTGACCAGGGATGTCCTGGCTTCTCCTTGCAGAAAGGTATTCAGCGCACGTAATAATTATCCATCCATCTCGTTCACACTAAAGGCATGGCAATGCAATTTTAGCCTTATAATCAAGACCATATGACAAAAAACCAAGGCCATTAGGGACCAATTTTGAGGATTCTCTGCAAGACCATGATTTTCCAACTGCACTTACATATGCTGAATAGTTACCTCGCACGACCGCACCTGCTCTCATTTATGGAGCCCCTCTGCTTTCCAAAGCTATTCTTAATAATGAAATAGGGTAAAGTTTTAAAGGCTGGCTGACTGTTTTTTTTCTTCAGTAATTTTTTTTTTTTTCATTTCCCTAAGCATAATATGAAAAGGCTGAGGGTGAGGTTTCTGCTCATGCCACTGATCATACTTCAGGGTCTGCTCTTCACTCTCCTCTTCGCTTCCCCCTCTGCCCTGACCCCTCCATCTTCCTGGCCCATAGTTACTCCACATGAACTTCTGACCACCCCACTTCAGGTTCAGTGACATAATAATAATGATGTCTCTGAGAGAACATGATGTCATCATAAATCTAGGAGCTGTCCAGCAAAGACTCTACTCATAAAGTAGAAAGATGGCCAGAGTTACTTTGAAATAATACAAAACATGGCTCAAATATTCTTTCATGTCTTATATAAAAATGTTTAGAATAATGAATAAAGCCATGCCCTTTAATAGATAAAGCTATAAATACTAAAAGCAATAATATGGTCCAGAATTAATGATTTATCAATTTGAGGGGCAATGGGGGAAAATAATCATTCGACTAGTAAGAAAGAACACATTATAAAGCCTCCACAAAATAAAAAACGACCAAGATGCTAGATTTTACTACCATTACTTTGGACTCTCTATGTATAGATTCTGCTCAATCCTATTTTTTAATCATTCAAGTGACAAGAAATTATCTCTAAATATCAATTAATTGTCACCTTGGTTCTTTAGCTCATAAAAGGGCATCATATTATCTCAACTCTGGACATTTGTCTAAAATTACAAGATAATGGACCTTTTAATGCAAGTCCACCACTAATTTTTTTTAAATTGTAAGACAGCATGGATAAATAATGCCATAAGCAATAACTCAGTATAATAACATTTTTTAAAAAAAACTTCATACAGTCCCTCTCCATCGAAGAAGTAGTCATACATTGCAGATGGCCATGTTTGAGAAAGTTCTATGGAGATACCTGACAAAAAAATTCTTAACCTCTGCATCGAGACCATCAAAACCAATCTGTTTGTTTTGTCCAATGCTCTGGAAATACAATTGTTATCCCTACTTCTCACTGCTTAATTTAACACAATGAATCTTGGCCTGTTCTTAGTAAACAAGGGCTGAATGTATTGTGCAATTTCCAATATAATGCCCTAAAAAGTTCCTAATTACTTGATCAAGGCATGTGGAAACAAGGGGACTATATATAAAAGGAGCTTATGATTATGGCTTGAGCATTCCACCGGTTGAACAAAGTTCTGATTATCTAATCCAGTTCTAAATATGTGCAGATAATATATCATCTATAAGAGGGTATAGTTCGTGTTAAAATATGAGGTGTTTCCTCAATTAAGGTACTTGCCAGCTGACAGGCAGAGGAATAAGTTATGACATCTCAGTAGTGATCCCAACCTGAGTATGTGTGAAGTTAGCTGTTCCTCTGATTGTCACCTCACTGGAACGATTTACATTGGCAGCAGGACATGGAGTTGGTTTCTACCTTAAATGTGCATCTATTAAAATGCCTTCAAAAAAAGCCTGCCCAGTGGTGCTATTCTGGAAATGAAGCCATTATGTACCTAGAAGCTAACCTGTCACATGCTTGACAATGCAGTCACAGAAAATAGAAAGGGCCAAATCTTTCAGAAGAAATCATACAATTTTGAAAGCTACCAAAGGTGGGTGTGAACAATTCCTGTGTCACTCATGTGCCAATCACTTATCTATCAAAAGCATTAAATCAAGGAATAAACAAAACCAAACTTTAAAGTAGAAAAGAAAACATAAAAAAAAAAAAACAGGTGGAAGCCTAGTATTCTGCAATAATCTTAAAATTATACTTCTAACCGTAAAGGTGATAAAGAATTCAAGATGATGAAGACAAATTATGAAAAGCACTGTATCACTGTGATGCCAGATGAGCAATGGATAAAAGTCATTCCAAAAACTCTAGAAGTGGAAAAGGCTCTATTAGATTTGTATATCTTTGCTAGGGCTTTGGAAATACCTCTTTAATTTTGCTCTCTTCCTCACTCGTAATTAAATACTTCCTCCGAGTCTCCTCTGTTGATTATTCTTCATTTCCTCATCCCTGAATTGTTAAAGAAGCTAAAACCTTGGACCTCCTTTCTATTCTACATTCACTCCCTAGGTGGTCACAGCTAGCCTCTGTGATTTTAAATACCATACAAATGCTGACAAATCAAATGCATAACTTTAGCCAAAATGTTTCCTCTGAACTTCAGCCTCATCGATCCATTTTCTCCTTCCTAAACAATTCATTTGGATGTCTATTATGCATCTCAAAAGTAATATTTCCAAAATGAGTACTGATTATCCCGTGTCCTCGAATGACCGAGCACCATCTTTGAGCATCCCTGCTGTTCCCTCTGTGGGAAGTTTCTTGTTCCCCATATCTGCCTACCCGTTTCCTCACTTTTTTAGTAACTTCTGGTATATTCTGACTAAAGAAGCAACCACATCTTCCCCTTTCTCTATTCTACTTATCCTGTTTTATTTTTTCCATAATATTTAGCATTAAGATGTGATATTTTTAATTGAAGTATAGTTAACTTACAATGTTTTATGCTTCCTTATAGAGCAAAATGATTCAGTTATATATATGTGTATATATATATATTCTTTTTCATATTCTTTTCCATTATATTTCAATTACAAGACACTGAATATAGTTTCCTGTGCTATACAGTAGGTCTTTGTTATTTATCTATTTTATATATAGTAGTTTGTATCTGCTAATCCCAAACTTCTAATTTATCCCTACTCCCCATCTTCCCCCTTTGGTAATAAGCTTATTTTCGATGTTTGAGAGTGTATTTCTGTCTTGTAAATAAGTTCCTTGTACCAACTTTTAAATTCCACACATAAGTGATATCATATAATATTTGTCTTTCTCTGACTTACTTCACTTAGTATTACGATCTCTAGGTTCAGCCAGATCGCTGCAAATGGCATTGTTTCATTCTTTTGCATGGGTAAGTAGTATTTCATTGTGTGTGTAAACATATGTAAACTTACTTTTTACTCACTTTGCTTCCTTTCCTTCCTTCCTTTTGTCCTGTTTTCTTTTCACCTTTCCTTCTTTATTTCTGTCTCTGTTTCCATTTGTTTTTTTCCTTCCTCTTCCTTCCTTCCTTTCTTTCATTATTTATCTCCCTATACCAAAATGTAAGCTCCATCAAAACAGAGAACCTCTGTTCACTGCTATATGTCCATTCATTCCACTAGTGTGCTGTCCACTATCATATTCCTAGATCCTAGAACAAATTTTTAACTGTCAAAAGTATTGAGATGACTATACATTTGGACTGTTTGCAAATTTAAACATGAGAATTTTTAGTCTTCTACTGTGTTTCCTTAAAAAAACTACAATTTTATATTTAAAAAGAAAAAAGAAACTTAAAACTAGGATTCCAAACAGAACCTAAGATGCATGACATGCTTTTTTTTTTAATGAGGCTGAATAATACATAAACCAAATAGACATTCTAGAACAAAGTGAAAAATTATATATAGAGATAGATAGATTCTATTAAGCAGAGTAATGATAAAATGGATAAATGAATCTTTGCTGACTGCTAACCATGGGTTAGAAAATGTTAATCCTAGCAACAGCCCCATGAGGGAAAATTCCCACTTTACAGATTAGGAAATTAAGTGTTTGATCAACTTGCAACATTTATGTAGCTAATCCCAAAGTCAGGATTTAAACTGTATTATATTATATCGGTTTGCCTAAATATACATACACATGGTGTGGGTATAAATTTAATGTGAATTAGAAACAGAACACTACAGAAAGAAGCCTGGAATACAAAGAAGAGAAAATGTTAACAATTCTAGTCTCTTGGAGGCTTAACATTTTTAATATGCATATGTTTTTATAAAATTATCACAATGTATGTATGTTTATAGTTCTTAAATTTTATTTTTGTGATAGTTAATATAAAATATGTATCATATATGTAAATTATGAAACATAATAATAAAATGAACCTTCATGAATCCCCTATCCAGCTTAAATAATAAACACTGCCAAAACTGGTAAAGTTATCCAGGGACCTTTTTAAATTACACACAGCTCCATTCCTTACCAAGAATAAACACTATCTTGAATTGTGTGCATATCCTTCTTTTTGTTTTCCCTGGATATTTTACCACAAGAATCTGTCCTTAAATAACATAATTTACTTCTGTCTGATATTTCAAGATGGTGTCATGTGGCATATAGTCCTTTCTGGTTGTTTGTTGCTTTCTCATTAAATATTACTAGTATCTTTCTATGATTTGTCTGTGTTGATGCACATAGCTTGTGGTTCATTGATTCCATTGCTTTATCATATTCCAGTTTATGAATATACCAAATTTACTTGTCCAGCCTTCTGCTAACTTCTTCTGTAGACATCAAAACATATTATAAAGCTACCTACCATGAGATAATGTGTTCTTTATATGAGGACAGACAAATTAATCAATAAAGCCAAATAAATAGCTTAGAAACAGGATCACACCAGATAGAAACCTGATATCTAACAAAAGTAAATTGCAGATCTGCAGGGAAAAGATGAACTACAGTAAATGGTGCTGAGATCATTGACTGCCTTTAAAAGGAATCCTACCTTAAACTGTCTATACACAATTGTAAATTTCAGATGAGTTACAATTGTGAAAAGCAAACCTCTAAAACGTCAAGTAGACAGTACAAGAGAATATCTTCATGACTTTCAGGTAGAAAAAAATATATTTTTGACAACACAAAAAGTGTCAACCATCAAGAAAGACTGATAAATTCTATCTAACTGAAAGTGAAAAGATCTTTTCATCAAAGGATACCATAAAGAAAATAAATGGAGAAGTCATGATTCTCAGAAGATATTTAGGATACATTTATCTATTTCTTATTAAGGATTTCTTTTTTAATTATACTCCAGCCTTCTCTGAAATAGTCACTACTTAAATGCCTTCCTTTTATAGGTTCTTTGTTCCTTGCTAGTGCTTTGAAAATTAGGGACGCCATAAACACTGCTGACTAACAGATTTTTATTTTAGGCTGTTTTCTGCTGCAGTACATGTAAAATTTTACCTTGCTTTAAACAAAGGCTACTAACTATAGGTGGCATTGTTGTAGCATAGATCATGTTCTCAATTACCTGTATGACAGCAAAGACTGATACTAGTAAAACTTCATTTAAGTTTTTTAATTCAATTGAACCAGAAGGTCATTGACACTTCAGTAATTGCTATTGAAAACCATTTGGCTAAAAGAGAAAAACACACACATAGATACACACAAAATAAATTGTGACATAATCTGTACTACAGATTATTCATTTTAAATGGATTGTCTAGTTCTTGTTACAAGATCATTATTGCAATTATTTTACCTAATAAATTTCTTAATGATTCTGAAACAATGGTCAAACGTGACATAATTTATACAACCCAACTAAAGAAAAATTGGCAGTGCTTTTTTCTTTTTTGGACCACAAACAGAAAGCCCAGTTTTTAAGCTGTGTTCTAGTTCTAAACTATGGAATAAATACAAAGGGATGAAAAGAACAAGAGAGGAAGTGGTTTGCAAGAAGCTGGGGGAGCAGCCCTCTTGCTATAGATGGGCAGCACACAACACGAGGCCCTGTGCCCTCCAAGGGCCTCTGCGTGTGGATGACCAGGCTGTTCCCTCCCGATCAGAGAGGTCTGGGAAAGTCTTTGGCCTTTCCTCATTTCCTCTCTGTCTCCATTCCAAGAAGACAGGGTTAATATTGCTCAGTCACTCAGTCGTGTCTGACTCTGCGACCCCAAAGACTGGAGCCCGCCAGGCTCCTCCTCTGTCTGTGGGATTGCCCAGGCAAGAATACTGGAGTGGCTCGCCATGTCCTCCTCCAGGGGATCTTCCTGACCCAGGGGTTGAACTTAGGACTCTGCTATCTCCTGCATTGGCAGGTGGATTCTTTACCGCTGAGCCACCTGGGAAAGCCAGGGCTTAGTACAGCTTAAGTGTCTAAAATTCCCCTTCTTTATAAATGTTTAAAAAAGTACTCCCACTCAAAAAGTATGGCAGAGAGCAGGGTGTGAATGAAATTCTCAGACTAGATATTTAATCTGTCAAGTCCGGCATCTGTCATCTCATTAACTGAATCCTGAGTTCCCACAACTAGGAACCTTCTGTTTTGTTTGTTTGGGTTTTTTGTTTTTGCTAAATATGAAAAAGTCATCGTGAGGCTAACACGTTCTCTTGTTAAAAAAAAAAAACGAAGCCATGCTACAACACAGGTAGACTTAGAGATCATCCTGCTAAGTGAATTAAATCACAGGCAGAAAAACATCATATGGCATCATTTATATGTGGAAGGTAAAAAAAATG